CTGTGGGGAGGCCTCTAATAAACCCGACTTCCAGACCTCTGCAGAATCTCCCAGAACTGCGGTAAATCATCCTCCTGTAGGGCTCACACTCATGACACAATCAAAGCAGAGCCCCGCTTGAGTGATTTCCATGATTTGGTCTAATGATCTATGTTGATTCCCTTTTCAGAGAGCACATGGTCCAATTACATATTCCTTCCATCCGGGGTTAGAGATGTCCTTCCAAATGCCCATTCTACCAATTTATAGGTGTATAAAAAAAGGATTTTCAGTAAAATGTGCGCTCATTGGTTTTGATGAAAAGGGTTTGTGATGAAAGTAGAATATCTAATAAGCATTTCATAAATGACTTGTCTTTCAAACTTAATATAAAACAGAATAAAATACATCTCCCAAAGACCTCTGTGCTGTCACGCAAGACTTACAGTCCCGTTCCCCATCAGTCAGGCCCCCAAAATAAAAAATCTCTAAAGACGCAATCAAATATTTATCAGCAGAAGTTGGAAAAACTGAGAAATTATTTATGGCCCAAATTTTGAAATAGTCACACTTTGAAGGGTGGGGGAGGTGCTTGCTGGAGGCAGCATGTTTCTCTCAGGGCACATGATCCCAGCTCCTCCCTTCTGTCTTGAATTCAAAATCCAGGGAAATCAGGGGGTTGAGGAAGTGCATTTGTGCCCTCCAGGGTGTCTCCCCTTTCTTCAGAAACGTGGAGAGATTTTCCTAAGGCAGAAGTACGATGGGAAAGAGCCAGAAACAAAGAGGCAACCCATTCTCCCACAGCTGGGGGTGCTGGGCCATGTCCCCAAAGCTTGGTTCATCTCGTGCTCCTGACCAACAGGCGGGGCAAGCAGCATGACACAGCCAGTGGAGGTTGGAAGAGGAATCCCTCTGTGATGGGGAGCACCCCCCGATTCCAGGAATCCGGTGCCCACCACCTATTTAATCACTTGGCAGATAAATGAATCATGGGGAGTCTGTCGATCCTGGAGCCACCGCACAGCCTTCCAGCTTCTCCATGGTCTTTAGTTACCCATGGGCTCCCTCCCTGGGCACCTTGCTCTTGGGGTCTGTGACCACCGTAGCTACTGGGAACTCTTTCTACAGGAATTCATGAATATGCAACAATGAACCCCTTACTGTTATGTATAGTTATGCTGCACCACCAATAAAAACTTAAAAACATAAACAAATAAATTCAGATTGTGAATGATCAAAAAAACAAAATCAAGAACAGACACCTAGTCTCCATTCACCCTCTTGAAATGTAAGATAAGTGTCTTTATACCGTCATGCTAACTCCTGTGTCATTTAGTACAGTCTAATATTTAGTTAAACTTAATTTTCTCTAATAATTATGAATTCATATAGGAAAGCTGAAAGAATTTTGCAGCAAGAATCCACATGCTCGCCAACTAGACCATACCATGCCATTTTACCATACCATTTAGTGTACTTCTCTTTTGAATACCATGCATCCTGCATCTTATCTTTTGGTGCATGCCAAAGAATCACACTTATTTTAATGTTGCTTTAAAGGGAGCGGTTGTCAGCGAGCGAGCACGTTACATCACATGGAAGAGGTCTCTCAGCCTGGCTTAAACGGCCCCTGCACGTATTGGTGAAGAGCAGAGACTTTGAAACCTCAAAGAGCCAACACAAAGCTCATCTCTGCCATTAACCCGCCGTGCGGCTTCAGATGGGCTGCCTGGTCCCTCCAAGGCTTGTTGCCTCCTTGGCATTGGGAGATGTCCCTTGTGGGGTGGCCATAGGAACTGAATGAAGGAAATGGGAAGTGCTGAGCACGCTGCTGGGCAAATGGGCTGACACGGCCCCTGCTCTGCAGCCCAGACGGTCAAGGATTCTGTCTGTCTCCTTCGTCAATACGCCTCCGGTTCCCCACACAGGGCCTTATAGGGAGCAGAGGTTGAATGTGTGTGTGTGTGTGTGTGTGTGTGTGTGTTGGCCAGAACTGGGTTGATTTCAGAGATGTGACATGGACAGAGGGGAATACACTGGGCTTCAAAGGCCCAAGGACACAAGAAAGTCAGCTCAAGAGACAACAGGAGAGCAGAGGATAAGACAAAGACACAGAAATCCCAGGCTGCAGCAGGAGGGTTTAGATCAGGTTGAGTGATGGAGCTGGATTCACCAGGGCCAGAACCTGTTCCCTGGCCCCACCCAACTCCTCACAGACTTCCCTGGCCCCTCTATCTAGAGGCCTCCAAGCCTCAGAAGCTGATGTGCTTGTGCACAGAGCACAGGGCAGGCTGGGTGTGTTGGAGAATTCACACCCAGGCCCAAGGCTGCTGGGGGGTGGTGGTGAATACTTGAGCAGTGTACAAATCCCTGCACCTGCCTGCACCTGCCCTGTGGGCAGGGTAAGTCGAGAGTGGCTTCGCGGCACTTGCTGGAGCTTCCCCTTGAGACTGGAGCCTCCACATGGTCGAGGGCTGAGCTTCTTGCCTGGCTCCTGCCCCTCCTGTCTCACTTCCTTACAGGTCTCCCCTCCCCCTTCTAAATGAACCCTCTGTGTTTGAATTCTTGCCTGAAGGTCTGCTTCTGGGGGAAGCCAAGGAACCCAAGTGGGTTTACGTTTTTGTTAGCCACAGAATCTCTTCTCCAAGAAGCATTCTAAACCTGCGTCTAATGTCCTATTTGTGAAGGTGGAGGTGTTTGTGGGCCAGAGCACTTCCTCCCTTGTGCCCTGTCCCCACTCCCTAGCACTCACTGGGGACACCGCCTATGTGCTCCTACATGGCTGTAATGAGCTCAGCTTATCAGGTACAGGCGGAGCTGTTGAAGAGAAGATGGAAGACTTAAAGAATAAGGCGAATGAATGAAAATCATTTGCATGGAGAGGAAAATGTGTTGCTTCAGGGGTGTAGACAAAAAAGAAAACCAGATTTTTGCAAGGCAGAGCAATTGTTCTGTAAGAGACCCCTGGAGGCTTGGGGGTCATACACATTGTGACATTAGTCACCTATCACACTTGTAAAGGCAGTGGCTTTGTGGAGTCTAGGTAGTGGGTACACATAAGGGTCAAGAGGTGATCCTCAGTGTGAAGGCATCATGGCCCTTGGAGGCTGCAACATCAGAAAGGGTACAGGGGCCCATGGTGGCTGCACCTTACTTACGGGGCCATTCAGCAGCTCTGGGAAGGACTCTTGAGAAAGCCACCCAGCAAGAGACCGCGGGCTGACTGTGAGACTGAAGGAAACTATACTAGGGACACAGAATTAAAACGCCACCTTCGGCTCAGGAGCAGTTGAAGTTAATAGCGATTGCCAGGATGTTGGATCATAAATTTCTGATTTCTAATAGAAACAGATTTCCAAGTCACCCTCATCTCCCACACGGCCCACCACAATCCCTCCCCTTCCTTCCACTGGGTCCCACTCACTCCCTGGGGAGCCTCTGCTGCTGCCTTGTGGAAACCCCTATGTTCCAGGGCCTCCCAGGCAGCTGGCCTCCCTCCACCCAACATCGGCCTTGCTTAGGGCGCTGGGTCCCCAGGCGCTGCCCCCTCAGGCTCTCCTCCCTGCCCACCACAGGCCTCCCCTGCAGTTCCCTTTGCCAAGATGTGTGTACCCAGGTCTTCCACGCTGTCCCTGTGTCACCCTCCCGGCTCTCTCCAATGTCACCGTCCCTAGCAGCCCCACCAGCTGTGCAGACAACCCCCCTCCAGTCCAGGTCCTGCCACTGGCTCCTGCTCTCATGTCACCGTGCTCTGTCTTCACAGCCCTCTTAATTCTCTAATTTTCTTGCTTATTTGCTTATTCATGAGAATGAGTGTCGGTCACCCCAGTAGAACCTGAGCGCTGGTGTCCACTCGCTCACAGCCAGTCGCCCAGGCCCAGCACAGGGTCTGGTGTGTAACAGGCCGTCCATTTTATTTAATAAATGAATTAGTAGACTAATTACACCAGCCATTAAGATCATTCATTCAAGTAACTGCCAGTGTTCAAATTTCAGGTTCACCAGAAAATAACTCACAGGTTAAAATGTGCTTCTCCAGGTTGACTGCCCAATGGGGGGGGGGAAACGTATTGGCAAATGGTCAATTAAATTTACAGGAAGACAATATTTTGGACTAAGCTCCTGCACCTGGTCCAACAGACCAGACCAAAGACAGTGAGTCATGTTCATGCCACGTGATCGCCGTCAACTTTAAGATGCCACTGTTTTCAAACACATAAATGGCAACCAGGCTTAAGGGGCCCAGTCGCCAAGCCAGCAGGTCACAGCAACCCTACAAGGCATGTGACTTTGACATGCCCACTCATTTAGTGTCATTAAATGCCCACTCATTTAGCCTTTTCTGTATTCACTGCCAACCCTTTCTGCCAGCTCCACTGGACGCCCGGCTACTTCCTAGGTGGGATGCCACCTGATTTACGAATCTTCAATAACAACCAACCCCATCGCTAAACTCAACCTGATGAAATTCTGTTTCTGAGACAAGTCAACAGGGGGACTGTGGCCCGGTTCACAGGGACTACATCTTTCCAGCACAGTTGTTCTGATTTGTGCAACGGTGTTTCTGGATCTGGGGAGGGCGACTGGATTCTCTTGATCTGGCTCAGTTTTTAGAGAGCTGACCCAGTGGAATTGCTAGACCTAGACATTTGGAAAACAAGGATCTCAGTGAAGACACATGTCAACACTGCTGTCCTGAGGGCCCTGTCTGGCTGGTCACCTGGCCATTGTGTCTCAGGAACAGAGTCCATTTGGTAACCGAGGGCACCCAACCATGTCACACAGCATGTCTCCCACCACACAGATCTCCAGGTCACCAGACTCAGAGCTGTTGTACTGTCTGCGCATGTGCCCACCCTGCCTTTTGGATGATCTTTTGAACTTTTTTTCTCACCTAAATCCCTCTGGCTTCTTGTGTACAGAAGTCGAGGCCAGTTTCAGCTGGTCACCAGCCAGCCTGGCCTGCGCGCGGGTCCCTTAATTGAAAGTGTGCTTTCCCACCTGTCATTCCTCTGGCTTACCTTGCCAACGTCCCTTGGGAAGGGCTGTCTCTGGTTCTCTGGAATTAGAATGGGCGATACCACAATGGACCTCTTCTGTCTTGGGACAGGAGAAGTTCTTGCAAATTTAAATATATCCTGAAAAAGAAAAGGAAACCAACGGATTAAAATCTCCCACAGAAAAGTCACAGCCCTTGGCCTTGAGAGCAGGCTCCTCTGTTGCACCAGTGCATGGCTGGACACTGCCGATTCAACTCCTTGGCATTCCAAGGGCACAGTTAGAACCAGGCTCATGATTCACGGTAGCTGTCACTGAGCTATGATACCTGCCCGAGATCCCTCCCTTCGCAGCACACTCCTGATCCTCAGTGGTTGTGTCTCCATTCTCAATCCACTGAAGAAGGGGACCATTCACCTGGGTGGAACTGCACTGATTGACTCTTCCCATGACCACCTGAAAGGTCCTTAGACTCCCAAGTGGACAGGGACCAAGGGGCAGTCATAGAGTTCCAAGCCACGGCAGGTGTCAGGCAGCTGCGCAGCCCAGGCTTCTTCAAAGGGCGGCGCTATTGGAGGGCAGCGGCTGGAATGTGCTCCCCAAGCGACATCTCCCAGCCTAGCGCTGTCGGTAACCCACCTTTTTAATTAAATACATGTGTTTAACAAAGGGAATCTTATATAATTATTTTAGATCAAGCACCAGTATCACATTATTTAAAAAGAAGAAAACATAAAAATAAGTACACTGGAGACCGACAGACATGAAAAAAGTTGAGCCAGAAACCTCTGCATATGGAAAGAGAGCTTTATTGTTAGAAGGAGCAAAGAAGGGTCTGGGTGGTACTACAGGGGGCATCAGCACCAAGCACAGGCTTTCTCCCTGACCCCAGCAGAAGACTGAAAGAGAGCTGAATAGAGTATCATGTTCAAAATGTAAACAGAGCATACTAATTATAGTTTTCTTCCATATCACTACAAGTAAGCACCTCAAACTTTAGGCAAGTTTCTATCAAAGTCACATGGTAAAAAATAATTCCATGCCATCATTATCCCCTGGCCCCATAGGAGTCTCTGTGTGTGAGTGTGTGTATGTGTGGGTGTGTGTGTGCACACTATAGTTTTAAAGGAAAATTTACATTTAAAAAATCCAAGATCAGCTAGGTCTCTGGACGCTCCTATAAATAGTCCCTCTTTTGATTCTTCTGGAGCATAAACTAGACACTTTCTCGTGGAAGCAATTGAGCAACATTATTTTTTGAGAGCCTTGCAAACGTGCACATCCTTTACTTTGTAATTTCACTTGAGAATACATCCAAAGGATCAACTCCAAAGAACAGAACTGTGTGCAGAAAGATGCTTAGTGACACATAATTTATAAGGGGCAAAAGTGAAAAACGATCTAAGTGTTCAATGCAGAGACGAGGTCTCTCGCAACAGACCCCGAGCCAATCATAACCCTCCTTAATCAGTGAAGAGACTTCAGAGAGATCATATGACCCTCCAATGCACCCAAATGGAGAGAGAAGGTAGAGGATAAAATATGTAGGAACATAGAGAACACCGTACTGGACACCCTGTCCTACGTTAATGGTACATGGTATAGAAAAAGAAAACCTCAGTGACCCCCAAGGTCAAGACTGGTCTCTAAGAAAGCAACAGATGTGATGGGCAAGCAGAGGCAGACAGATGGGCGTCTGTCCACAGACGGCAGGAAAAGAAAGAGCAGGAAGGGTAAAAACCAGCACAGGGCTGGGCTGGGGCTCAGCGGTAGAGTGCTCACCCAGAGTGTGCAAGGCCCTGGGTTCCATCCTCAGCACCACATAAAAATAAAAAGATAAAGGTATTGACAACTACAACTAAAAAAATAAATATTTTTTTTAAAAAAACAAGCATAAAAGAAAAAGCACAGAAGGTAGAAACAGAGAAACAGAGAAGTCGATGGGAAACAGAGTGGGCTGTATGCACCCTAAACTGCTGTGCGCAAGTGTCAGATCCTGCTGGGATATCCAGGGTGGAGAGAGAGTGGGAAACACGCGCAACACGCACGGCTCGTTTACAGCTGAAAAATCACGAGCCTTGGATGAGGGAGTGTCTGGGAGTGTCTGGGAGGGCACTCGGAGAGATCTGAGTCCCGTGCGAATGCAGGGAGCCACCAGGCCCCACTCGCTGCCCCCCCGGGAACAGGGAGATGACATGCTGCCTTTTCAGGACACACTCTGGGCTTGTTCTCAAAGGGCTTGCTTACATTCCCCCTGCGGATGAGGGATCTTTTGTCCTCATGGGCCAGAGTCCCATATCCACCTCTGCTGTCCTTGCCACCCACCAGGCCCCCTCCCAGTCCAGTGGCCCACCCCTCACAGTACCCCAGGAGTGAGCGACAAGCACAGGCAGTCAGCCTGAATCTGCAGTGCCAAGAAGAGGAGGGGGCTCCAAGCCATGGGAAGGTCCTCCGGCCCTGACAGGCTGTGGGGCGGCGACTGATCCAGAGAGGCTCCCTGTGCATGCAACTGAGTCACCAGGGTGTGCACCTGGGACTGTGGCTGGAGCAGGACCCTTTCCTTCCACCCACTCTTACCTTCTTCCCACGTAGTGGGCAGAACCTCAGTATTGTCCATCACTGAATTTCAGGTCCGTGGTTCTGCCTGCCTGATTTGTGTGTGTGTCTGTCACTGCATGTTTGCTGACACGCATGCTCCTGAGGTGTCTGCTGGGATCAGCTCTGTGCTGATGCATCTGTCTGTGTGTTTGGAAGCCACACACCTCTGTGTGATGGGAGTCAACTAGGAGCATCAAATCTGATTTGACTGACAGCCACGGGCCATAGGCAGATCCAGGTGCCACCATGCTCACCAGCGTCACTTTAGAGAGCACAGTCCACACCCACATATGTTTCTCGTTTCATTCCAGATCCCAGAGCACAGCAAATCCCCCTTTTCCCTCACATGCTGGAATGGAAGGGGAAGTGCCCGTGGGCATGGCCGGTGCTCTCTAAAGAACTGCACAAAAGCAATGGATGGGACTTAACATAGGAGACGGGAGGGAGGAAGTGGGGGTGACCACTGTGTCCCTTTTAGGAGTGAGTCATTTTCGGTGGGAGGCCTAAAGCCAGATCTAAGCACACCTGCCTACACGCAGCCACTTTTGGATTTCCAGATTCGCTAGATGCACGTGGACATGAAATATTCTCTCATATCAAACACAAACTTTCACACGTCTATGGGCTTACACACACACCCAGGTACATACACCAGAATCCACTTATAGGGTCTCACCCACACGACCACCTGCACAGGCAGCAGACCCACATCCCATGCCCACAACACCCATCACACCTTCCCACAAACTTCCTACAACACACAACCCAATAAACATGGCCACTCGGCCACAGAATAGTCACATGCACACAGAGGTGAGCAGAAGAGAGATTGCTGGGGACACCTTTGCCACCAGGGCGTGTCATCCTCCCTGAGCCTCTGCTCTCTCTGGATAGTGATCCCTCTGAGTGCTGGAGCCTGGACCGCCCAGAGGCCAGCAGCAGATTCTGACCGTCTTGCTCCAGGCCCAGGACAGGGCTTTCCAGAGGCTACTGCAGAAGTGGACCCCACCCGAACAGCCCCCGTCTCCCTGGCCTTCATCCTCCTGTCTCATGAATTTGGGTTTATAGCCTCATCTGTTTTTCCATTCCCCAAGCTCAGGAGGAACTGGACGCTACCTAGAGTGTCCCATTGTACAGTTTCCAAGAAGATATGAGAAATACAGGGAGCCCTGAAATTGTGAGGGACAGAAAAGGGGCCGGGGTGATGGGGGAGGGCCAGAGTCATGGGGAGGAGGGAGGCAGGAATAGAGGAAGAGCATGAAAAGGGACCAGATTTATATTGATTGATTAATTCATTCATCAGTGTCTTCAAAAAATACCTACTGCGCCCTTCTTGAGGCACCCGGGAGGGGCAGAGTGTGACAGAACAAGCTGTCCTCTGTGCTCAGGGAGCCTGCGCTCCAGAGTCGGGGTGGGTGGCACTCAGAGAAGACAGGGACACACAGCTCAGGAGCCCCTGTGGAGAGGGCCTGGCAGTATGCAGGGGAGATGTGCTGACCTCAGGATGGGGCCCAGAAGGGCCGAGAAGGAGGCTTGGAGGACGGAGGAGGAGGAGCCCGTGGGCCTCAGGAGGAGGGTCAGCAGAGGCAGGTCCCAGCTACAGTGGGGCAGCACCTGGCCCGAGCAGAGTGCTGGGAGGGGCAGGAGGCAGCAGGCCCGGGAGGGGGCTGGACACCCTGGACAGCTGTGTCCACTGTGCAGCCAGCTCTGCTCTCACTGTGCGTGAGGTGCGTGTGAGCCATGGGAAGGCTGAGAACAGAGGATGATGGAGCCCTGACCACAAGAAAAATCGTGACCGCTGAGTGGTCAGACTGAAAGCCGGAGCTAAGGGAGCACTTCTTGCTCTCCCCAACCCCGACCTCCAGGAACACCCGGGGCCTCCCCAGCCGTGAAGCTGAGCATGGGATCAGCAGAAAGGGAAGGGAGGGCTCCCCTGATGGAGCCTTCTCCCCCTCACATTTTAAAAGCATTATTGCAGTATAATTTAAATACCATAGAATCCACCTGTTTGAAATGTGCAAATAATCCTAATGATTATTAGGAAATTCCCGGAGTTGCCCAATCATCACAGCTGATTTTAGAACATTTCTACCACCCCGAAAGAAACCTCCTGCCCATTCGCCATCCCTCCCCTGCTCACCCCGCCCTGGCCACCCTGAGTCCCCTGCTGGCCGTGTGCCTGCATCTGTCTGGACATTCAGAAGACGTTATTGTTTTCACGGACTGGGCCTCTTTTCACTGCTGACGTGGGGACCGTGAAACAGGAAGGGAAGCGGCAAGACCCACGACTGGTAGGTTATGGGGCCCGCGAAGGCCTCCAGGTGGGACCGCACTCCAGGTAGCACAGGCCTCCTGCAAGCACAAGGCTGCTCCTCTCCCAGCCTCTGCCCGCCCCTTCCTGCCCTCCTTCCCGCTGCCCAGCACACCTCCTGCTTGTGGAACTGTGAGTCACAAGTCTGTTTCCAGAGAGTCCCCCTGTGACCCCTGTCAAGGTGCAGAGTAGAACTAATTGGGCAAGGTGTCCCCAGACTCAAGGAGAATA